CAGTATTGCTTGGGAAGTGCTTGCCAGGGCAATACAGCAAAAGAAGGTAATAAAAACATCCAGATCAGCAAAGAGATGGTTAAAATTACTTTTTCTTGAAAAAATGTATTTTAATTATGTAAATAAGCTCATAGAAAGTAAAAAAAGAAGAAAAAACCCCAATGCTCTATACAGATGATATGATAGTGTACTCAGAAAACCCCAAAGATTCAACAAAAAACCCTGTTAGAGCTAGTAGGCCAATTTGATAGAGTGACAGGTTATCAAATCAATATCCAAAAAGCAGAAGGATTCCTCTACAGTAACAAAGAGAACTCAGAGGAGGAAACCAATAAAGCAATACCATTTACAACAGCCAACCACAAATTATGACATTTGGGAGTAAACCTAACTAGAGATATCAAAGAGCTATACAAAGAAAGTACAGAACATTTCTGCAAGACAAAATAAAAGACCTAAAGAAATGGGAAAATGTGCTCTGTTTGTGGATAGGAAAATTCAATATTGTGAAAATGACAATCCTACCAAAAGCAATCTACATATTCAACACAATCCCAATACAGATACCAAATTCATTTTTCAAGGAGATCAAAGTGAAATTGTCAAATTTATTTGGAGAGGAAAGAAACCCCGAATTAAGTAAAACACTTCTGAGAAACAAAAATGAAGTGAGAGACACAGTACTCCCTGACCTCAAAACTTACTATACTTCAGTAGTAACCAAAATAGCATGATATTGGTACAATGACAGGCACATAGACCAGTGAAACAATTGAGAATCCAGAGATAGACCCAGCTATCTATGGTCAACAGCTATTCAACAAGGAAATAAAACCTATCAAATGGAGAAATGACAATCTATTCTACAAATGGTGCTGGCAAAACTAAACTGCTACTGGCAGAGAGCTGGTAGGATCCATATCTCACACCATCAACAAAACGACCACAAGGTGGATCAGAGACTTGGGAATAAAGCCCAAAAGCATAAAGTTCATAAGAGACAAACTCTACAGTACAAAGAGACTGCCAAATACAGCCATAAATGCACAACAACAAAAAATATAAATTTTATAAATTATAAAGATGCACAGGATAAAATTGATGAATGGGACTTTCTAAAGATTAAATGCCTGTGTGCAGCACAAACTTTTTCCAATAGAGTGAAAAGAAAACTTACTGGGAACAAAAATTTGGCGATACCATCTCAGAACAAGAGTCTCATAACTAAAGTTTACAGAGTACTCCTGGGCTTCCACAAGAAAAAACCTGATCATCCAATTACAAAATGGGCAAAAGATACGGAAAGAATGGCTAACAGACACATGAACAAATACTCCAAATCACTGGCAATAAGATTGATACAAATCAAAACCATAATGAGTTATACCATCTCACTCCAGTAGCAGTGGCAAAGTTTAACAGGACAGAAAGTAATAAATGTAGGAGAGGATGTGGAGAGATAGGAACTCTTATACATTATTTTTGGGATTGTAAAATGGTACAACCACCCTGGAAGGCAGTTTGGTGTTTCCTCTGAAAGCAGAACATAGAAATTTCATATAAACCAGCTATTCCATTGGTTGGCCGAGGCTCAAACAGCAACTTGCAAACCAACATGGAAACAGCTCAGATGCCCAGCCACAAACGAATGGAGTGAGAAGTTGTGGTTTATTCATACAATGGAATACTGTGCAGCACACAGGAGCAATGATTTTGTAAATTACTACCTGAGTGAACTAACTCAGTCCCACAAGGATAAATACTGTATAAAACAAGTATTGTAGAATGAGTATAAGACTCCAAGGAGGAGGAGGTTGGAAGGAGAGGGGTGAGTATGGGCAGATGTGTGGGGTGTTAATCATAGGGTTGCACAATTCAGTGGGTGGAGGGGGTGAAGGAAATTGGAAGAATCTTTTGTGAAAAGCAATTTATTCAACCTTTATAAATAAATCAGTATAAAATTTAAAAAAATGTTATTAACCTGCTGACAAATATTAGAGACTATTCTTTGTGAATTGTGTTTACTTGTTTCAGGCCCGAAATAATGTGGCAGGGATTTTTGTTCATTGCTTATGCTCAACACCACGTCTTTAGTAAAATAGTGCATTCATTTTGGAAAAGTAGATATAGTTGAGACTTTAAATGTTATCTAAAAATTAATTACATTGTTAAAATTCTTTGTTTCCGTAATTTTATTGCAATGTCAACTGGTCAAAACTTAAAGATATGCATATTGATAAAATTGGTGTATACTGATACCACATTGAATACACTTTTGATAGCATGAGAAGGTCATTGTGTGTTCATCTTCCTCAAAATCCAGACCCAACTATCACCATGAGATAATTTATCAGACATATCCTAATATAGACACAGTTTAAAAAATCTAGCCAGATCCACTCTTAAGCTGTGAAGGCCATGAAATAAAGGAAAGTCTGAGGAGCTGTTATAACTAACACAAGCCTGAGAAAGCATGAGGACTCACTGGGCCCTTGGTGGTGTCTTAGGTTGGGGTCTTCATTTGGGTCTTGGATTGGCAGGAAATGGAGTGTGGACTGCCATTAATAATCATATATCAGCATTGACCTAGTAATTCTGACAAATAAAATATATGACTTTACTGTAAGAACTTAACACAGGGGAACTGGGTTGGAGGTACATCTACTCAATTTTTCTGTAAATTTACAACTCTTCTAAACAATAAACAGTAATATTTCTGTTTAAACAGAAATCCATCTTTTCCATAGAGGTTGACTCTGCACAGGCTCTTTTCTGCGCTATCATAGTAAGGACTTCCCATTTAGGGATCTGTCAACCCAGTTGCCAGTTTCAACCCATGGGGCACACAGGTTGGTTACCCTTGGGAATAGTGACAGGCCTGGGATCCTACTTCCAGTCACCTGCAGCCAGTTGAGCTGTGCCAGCCCAGGACTGTACCTCTTGGGGTAGTCTGACTCCAGGTGGGATAATTGTTCTCCAGAGCCACTCCTGGAAGCTCCCCAGATGAAGCATCCACCCAAGAGATAACCTACAGGTAAAGGTCAACAGTAAACAAAAGAGCCATTTAGTAGCAAGGTTGTGGGCTTTAGACACAGATCACATCTCACTTTCTACCAGAGCGAGATGTTACGGTGTCACATGCAGACGGAAAACAATAATAACGCTTCCTTGTGCTGTCAGTGGACAGAGATACTATGTAACTGCCTCTCTGTCTACCTCTGTTTTGGGGGACTATCTGTCCTAATTTTCCTCTTGTTTTCAAAAATACAGATTTGGGTTTGCCCCGAGCTATTTTATTGTGTGAAAAAAAATTTCCTTCAAAGTGATTTCTTTGTGTCTTTTCCTATTTCAGACTGAAGCTGAAAGAGCTGGGACCTGCCACACATCTGCTCTGTCCTGACGAATCTCTGTGGTTGATCTGCAGGTAAGAGGAGAAGTATGCAAGGCTGCTTATTTTTAAACTAGGTCTAGGTCTCTAAAATGAACTGGAAGTCTTGACTCAGCAGGTATCTGAAAAAGATTCTCTGTGAATCTGGTGCAAAATGCCTGCAGAGCATATGAGGGTCATGGAGAAATAAGTTTTCTGGTGGATCCAAAGTGAGTGGCTCTCAGCCTTCAGGAGTTGAGGCCCAAGTAGGACACACTGTAGGCTTTACCCTTGAATGTGGAGGCACTCTGTGGACGTCTCAGGTAGGGTTGCATGCGGCCACTGGGTGGAGCCTGGCACAGACCCTGAGAGACAGAGCACCTAAGCGTGAACCAGTTCCTATGGCTATCAGCTTTCTTGCTCTAGGATTGAGTGCCTGGGTTTCCTGTGTGCTTTGCCAAATCAGCTCATTCACAAGCACAGAGAAGGGCAAGGAGGTTAATTAATCAACAGTCAGAATAATTAGAAAACCTAGAACTTTCCCACCAATGAATTCTCTGTGCAGGTTACTAATCACATGCTTCTATGTAATTGTAATCTTCTGTCCACATTACACTGGAAGAGACAAGTCTTATACACACCCACACATCATGGACATTGTATTTATAGGTAGCCCTCATTCCACTCTGTAAGCATTCAGGGCAAGACCTTGGTCAAGCATTCAGGGTAAGCACCCTAGCCAAAGGACTTTGCAATGACCTCACAGTAGGGACATTTGATGTAAGTGGATCCATCTGCACCCTGAGTAGGATCTCTACCCAGACATCTGAGTTAGAGGTTTGCAAGTCTCTACATTGGTGAAGCTGTCACCGAGCTGTGCTGAGATATGACTTGCACCCACCCGTTCTGGCCAGCTTGAGATTCAGTGAAGGAACTGACTTTCCCCCAGTCAAAGAGAAATTGGATGAGGTTAGGAAATCAGGGCTAGGGGTCGTGCCAGGGGATCAGTGCCTGATACAAGCTTGGAGTGTCCTCCACAGCTACACCACTGTGACTTGTCCTTTCTTGAGGAGTGGCCTATGGTGGGTGAAGCAGCTGAACAGTCATGCCTGTCCTAAAATGCCTGCACAAGTTGTTGGTAGCCAGTTGCAACCACCTGAGGCTGTATCTGTCTAGGAGAGAGAAGTCCTTCAAACCCTGGAAGCATCCCAGGCTCTTCCTCCTGAGATGCAGAGACAGCTCCAGCTTGATGTCTGGTTTGGCAGTGGTGAACAAGAACATCTAGAGAGAGGCTGAGACCATTAGGCCTCCTGATAAATCAAGAATGTTCTAATGTTAAGGGAATAAAGGCTCATTCTAACTCTTTGTGCCAATCACTATTCTGGGCTGGCCACATATTGGGGGAAAGCTGTGAGAGAGGGGAAGCTTCAGGGTTCAGTGTGGCCACCTGGAAAGGTCTGGTTTGAAGAGCTAATTCCTCCACTGTCTCCAGGAAGCAGAGACTCATCAATGCTTATGTTTTTTACTCTCTGAGTGAAGCATTCAAAGCTGTGGTGAGGTATCAGCAGTACCACAACTGAAGACCACTCTCTTGTGCCCATTGTTGCCCAGGGACCTCGTGCAACTCACCCAGATGGCAATGAGCAACCACACAGTAGTGATGGAGTTTGTCCTGCAGGGCTTCTCAGAAGACCCCCAGCTCCGGTACCTGTTTTTGGTTGTTTTTCTTCTCCTTTACGTGGTGGCCCTTGTGGGAAACAGCCTTATTGTAGCAGCCATAATCTTGTGTCCAGGTTTGCACACCCCCATGTATTTCTTCCTTGCCAACTTGGCCATTTTGGACATCGTCTGTACATCTACCGTTCTCCCCAAGCTGCTAGAAGGCCTAGTGGTCCAAGTGGACACAATTTCCTATGGGGAATGTCTGACACAGCTCTTCTTCCTGACTTGGTTCCTGGGGGCCGAGCTACTGCTTCTCACATCCATGGCCTTTGACCGCTATGTGGCCATCTGCCGACCACTGCACTACAGTGCCATCATGAGCTGGCCACTGTGTGTACTACTGGCTGTGGCTGTGTGGACAGTCAGTGCAGTAAGCACATCTATACACACAGGCCTCATGGCACGGCTGACCTTCTGTGGCCCCAATCATATTCAGCACTTCCTATGTGAGATCCCCACACTATTGCTGCTATCCTGCAGCCCTACAGCTCTCAACAATGTCATGATAGTCATCGCCGATGCTTATTTTGGTGTAGTCAATTTCATGCTCACTCTAGCCTCCTATGGCTTTATTGTGGCCAGCATCTTGAGAATCCGCTCAGCTGAAGGAAAGCGCCGTGCCTTCTCTACCTGCTCCTCCCACCTTATTGTGGTCACCTTGTACTATTCTACTGTCATCTATACATACTTCCTTCCTGGATCAGGTACTTCCATGGAGAATGGTAAGCTGGTCTCTGTGTTGTACACAGCCGTCAGCCCTGCCCTGAACCCCCTTATCTATAGCCTGAGAAATAAGGATGTGAAAGCAGTCCTCCAGAAGGTGATCCCTTCCTCCTGGAAAGACAAAGAAGATACCAGGTGAAGTTTCCTGTTATTAATTGCTTCATCAGTTTCAAAACATGACTATGAGAACTCCTTGCGTAAGGCAAAGAGTAAGAAAGTAATTAATAAGATAAATTTACAAATAAGGACGTTCCCCATGGTGACTGACCATGGTGATCTATGTGGCTCATTAGCAAATTCTGACCTTGAGGTTTTGGTCAGGGTCTCAAGGATTGATGACAAATGATACAAAAAACCAAAGCTTTGGGAGGTGTGGGGGGGTGATGCTACTCTTATTTTTTTCTTTCAGGATGGAAATCCAAGGTAGAGTATGAAATCTCCTGAGAATATCACCTTGTGTGCTCTAATATGGGAACCTCTCAATACCCTGCTGTGGAAAACCCTTCAAAATTCTGCTTTTCTGAATCAGATCCCTTTGTGTGGAGACAGGAAATCCAAGTGGATGCTCACGATACTCATAAGTTTCCTTCCCTGGTAGAGAGGGTGACATATGAAACCTGTGCTTCACTTGAATGAATGCTGCAGATGTATTTATCTTTTGTACCCCCCCCCCTTCACAAAAGTTGTCATCATTCTGTCCCAGGGTTGCTTTGCCATATCCAGAAAGAATTAATTTTTAGTTTTAGTCTTAAAAATCTTTCACATTATTTTTATAGGTTCAGTTCCTTCTCAGTCCATTTTTCACTGTTATCATTCATCTTCAATTTCTGCTTCTACCTTCTAAATGTTGATAGTGTCCACCACTTCAGCGCAAATCTTTCCTATTCTCTCAGTAACTTCTTATGTTTTCCTGAGTCATTTATTGTTGATACTTGCTAAGCCTACCTACATTTATAGCTATAATGCAAACCTCTTCTCTGAGCTCTAGTCCCACTGTTACGACTTTTCAGCTAGCATGTTGTTGTTAGGTGCTATTGAGTTGAGTATGACTCATAGTTACCCTGTGAACAATATACCTGAACCCTGTCCTATCCTGTGCCAACCTCATCATCTCTGAAATACTTGCATCCATTTCCGCAGCCACTGTGTCAGTCTATTTTGTTGAGGGTCATCCTTTCTTTCACTGACTTTCCATCTTTACAAACATGCTGTCTTTTTCCAAGGACTAGCTTCTCCTAGCAACATTTCCAAATTATGTGAAATGAAACTTTACCATCTTTGCCTCTAAGGAAAACTCTGGTTGCACTTTCTCCAACACCTATCTGTTTGTTCTTTTGACAGTTTATAGGTTATTCAGTACACTTCTCAAAGACAAAAAACCTGGTGTGAAAAACAATGTAGAAGAATGTTGTAAGCAAACCAGTATAAAATTAATTTTTTAAAAAAGACTAAAGCAATTATTCTTCTGTAATTCTTATTCATTGTCCGGCTCTCAGACGCACAGCAGTTGTTTGGGAAGACTATGATTTGTATCAGGTGCACCTTAGTCTTTACATTGACATCATTGTTTTTCAGTAATTTGGAGATGTCCCTGCAGCAGACTTTCCCAATGCAATACGTCCCTGATCTCCTGGTCAAGGGCATTGATTGTGGATCCAAGTAGGGTGAAATTATTGACAATTTTATTCTTTTCTCCCATCTAGTACGATGTTGCCTATTGACTCAGTGGTGAAGATTTTTGCTGATGTTGAGATGTAATCTATACTGAAAACTATAGTCTTTAATCTGCTCCTGCAAACACTCCAAGTCATCCTTATTTTCATCAAGCAAGGTTGTGTTATCTGATAACACAGATTATTCATGAGTTTTCTTCCAATTCTGATGTTACATTTTTCTTCACGGAGTCAAGCTTCTTGCATGATTTGTTCAGCATACAGACTGAATAGGTATGGAGAAAGGATACAGCCCTGACCCATACTTTTCTTGATTTTAAACTGTGCAGTATTCACTTGTTCTGTATAGACCGCAGATTACCAGTCTAGATATAGATTTCTTATATGCATAATTAAGTGTTTTAGGATTCCCATTTTTCTCAATGTTAGCCATAGTTTGTTGTGATCCACTGAGTCAAATGACTTTTCATAGTCAATACAACACAGACATTCTTCTGGTGTTCTCTTCTTTTAGCTAGGATCCTTCTGACATTAGCAATAATATCCCTAGTGTCATGGCCTCTTATGAACTCAGCTTGAACTTCTAGCTGTTCTAGTCTTTTTATTTTATTTTTTTTTGTTTTAGTCTTTTTAGTAATGATCTTTATAGTGTTTGGTTTTACTCCTAGATCTTTCTTCAATCTTGAGTTTGCTTTTGTGTATGGTGCGAAATGTGGATTTCATTTCAGTTTTCTGCAGATGGAAGTCAAGTTTTTCTAGCACCATTTGTAACAGAGGCTGTAGTTTTTCCACTTAATTGCTATTTGTCAACATCTCATTTTTAAAAGAGGGTTTCAATGGACATATAACAAATGGGTTGAAGGATTTGGAGATTTTGGTTTGTTTTGTTTAGAGAGTTTTGCTGGTTGGTTTTTTCCCCCTTTTCTTGTCTATAGATTCTGATTTTCTTGATAAGTAACAAGAAAAGCAAACCAGATTCATTTATTAAACCAACATCAGATAAGACTCTTCTTATTGTTCTTGTTGTTGATAAGTGTCACCCAATTGACTACAACTCATAGCAACCATATGAACAACAGATCAGAACCTTGTCCTATTCTACATCATCCTCCAGATAACCCTCTACATGTCCCAGCATGATGTCTTTTTCCAAGAACAAGGACTTCTGACAATTTATGTAAAGTTTGTAAGCGTTATGCAGATGACACAACCTTGCTTGTAAAAACTGAGGGAGACCAGAGGAATTTGCTGAAGGAGGTAAAAAACTGCAGGCTTCAGTATGAATTGAAACATAAAGAAAACAAAGATTCTTACCACTAGGCCAATTTGCAGCATCATGGTAGACGATGAAGAGATTGAGATTCTTAACAGCTTCAGCTTAATTGTCTCCATAATCAACACTTTTGGTAACAGCGGCAGGGAAATCAAAAGACAAATTGCATTGGGGAAATCTGCTGTCAAAGACCTCTTCAGAGTACTTAAGAGCAAGGACGTCAGTCTGGAGACTAAGGTGTGCCTGATCCTGGCCATGGTTTTTGCAGTTACTTGCTATGAATCAGAAAGGTGGACAATTACTAAGGATGATAGAAGATGAGTTGATGATTTGAGGTGTGGTACTGGAATAAAATATTAGATATACCATGGACTTCTAGGTAAACAAACAGGCTCATCCTAGAGAGGGTGAAATCAGGTTACTCCTTGGAGGCAAGGATTCTGACGCTCTATCTGACTACTTTGGACATGTTGGAAGAAGGGACCAGTCCTTGGAAAGGGACATCATGCTTAGGAATGTGGAGGGACAGCACAAGAGAGGAAAATCTTGAATGAGATGGATTGACTCAGTGACTGGGGTAATGGGGATAGGTGTGTCAGAGACGATGAGGCACTCTTCTGTTAATATGCTGTACTGAGGTAAACTGGGTTTGCTGGGATGTAGAACCTTGTGCCACTGGAGTGTCAGATGTTGTAACGGTTACCCATGGTGGACAGTGTTTGGCGAAGTTCCCAGTTTAAGACAGGTCTGGAAGCAGGAGTGGCATTTACTTCCTAAACAGCATCCTTCTGGAAACTGTGAACTGTGATAAATGGTGATGGTTGTGGAAGGGCTTCAGGCTTTTTGTTTGTGGGGTTGCTATGAATCGTGCTCGACCTGACAGCAATCAACAACACAACAACAACTCTTTTGAAGTTTGTCATCCTATGGTGTGAAATATGTTGCTGTGATGTTGGAAGCTGTGACACTAGTATTTCAAATGCAGTAAAACCTATTATGGACAGATTTCATTAGAACTTCCAGAATAAGGCAGATTGGGAAGACTTGAGGTCTACCTCTGGGGGAAAAAAGCCAGTGAAAACTTTAATATCAGTGGAACATTGTTTGGGTTAGCTCAGGAAGATGAACACTTTAGGGTTTTTGTTTTGTTTTTGGTGCAGTTTTTTAAAAAAATTATCAATATGAAGTGATTTCTTTTTAATATAGAAACAAAGTAATCAAGGTAATCAAGCTTACAGTTATAAAATGCATATGAAGAATAGCAACCAAAGAACCTTTCATATGTTGTATTCCAAAGTATAAGCCCCAGGCCTAAATCTCAGAGAAAACCTGAAGACCAGTAATTAGATCTCCGTTTGTTGTTCTCCCTTTGTTGTTAGCCTCAATCCATGGCCTGACATCATAGCCATAGCAAAAAGGGAATTCCTTCACCTCTGTTTGGATTCTAGGGGATTCTTGGGAGTCATTAGTTTTTGCAAAAGAAGCTGATGAGCTGTGTCTGGGATAGGGCATTCACCCTATCCTAGAAAACCTTAGAGTAAAATCTGAACTTTCATGGTACTCAAAATCAGAGATTCTAAGGGTCTTAATTCTGGTTCAGCAGAGAAACCACACTTAAAAATACAGTGAGCTGTTACTTCTTCCTTATGGGATATAAGAAACTTATCAAGCTCATTCATTTGGAAACAGGAAGAGCTTCTTAGTATTCTCTGGTCTTCTCAAACTGACTTATACCTGGAGACAAGATGTCACAAGTCACTCAAAAGACACTTTTTAAAAATATTTTAATTAATTTATATTTTTTAAATTATTATTAAATTTTATTAGTTTTAATGAACATTTACAGAGATTTTGGGTTTTCATTCATTCATTGTTACACTGTTTTCTCTACCCTCCTCCCCAGTTCATTCTTCTTCCCCCTCCCCGAATGTCTGTTTTAATTGTCCAATTGCCACAGTGCTTGTCAAAGCCAGTTCTGATTAATCTCCTTTGTCAGTGTATCCTTTGCCATTCCCTATCACTCCTCCCTGAGAGAGACTTCACCCTGATTCATAAGGAAAAGGGGATGGAGTATTCTCTTAGCTACTTCCTGCTGAAAAGGGACGCTGTGGGTTTCAGGGTAAAGATCTTCTCTCACTACTCTAAAGGGCCCCTTTGGCAGTAGGAAACACATAGACTATTGTGGAGATTGAT